CCCCCCAGGGATGGTGAGGTCTAATTTGAATCAACCGTGAGTACCCACTGTGCTGGGCCCCCCAGCAGCCCTCGAAAGTGGCGACAGTTTCACAGATCGCAGCTCCCCAGGGATGGCGAGGTCCCATTTGAATCCGCCATGGGTACCCACTGTGCTGGGCCCCCCAGAAGCCCTCGAAAGTGGCGACAGTTTCACAAATCGCAGCCCCCCAGGGATGGCGAGGTCCCATTTGAATCCGCCGTGGGTGCCCACTGTGCTGGGCCCCCCAGCAGCCCTCGAACGTGGCGACAGTTTCACAGATCGCAGCCCCCCAGGGATGGCGAGGTCCCATTTGAATCCGCCGTGAGTACCCACTGTGCTGGGCCCCCCAGAAGCCCTCGAAAGTGGCGACACTTTCACAGATCGCAGCCCCCCAGGGATGGCGAGGTCCCATTTGAATCCGCCGTGGGTGCCCACTGTGCTGGGCCCCCCAGCAGCCCTCGAAAGTGGCGACAGTTTCACAGATCGCAGCCCCCCAGGGATGGCGAGGTCCCATTTGAATCCGCCGTGGGTACCCACTGTGCTGGGCCCCCCAGCAGCCTCGAAAGTGGCGACAGTTTCACAGATCGCAGCCCCCCAGGGATGGCGAGGTCCCATTTGAATCCGCCGTGGGTGCCCACTGTGCTGGGCCCCCCAGAAGCCCTCGAAAGTGGCGACAGTTTCACAGATCGTAGCCCCCCAGCGCCTGCGAGGTCTAATCTGAATCCCCGTAGGGCGTCACTCCGCTGGGCCCCCCAGCAGCCCTCGAAAGTGGCGACAGTTTCACAGATCGCAGCCCCCCAGGGATGGCGAGGTCTAATCTGAATCCCCGTAGAGCGTCACTCCGCTGGGGCCCCCAGCAGCCCTCGAAAGTGGCGACAGTTTCACAGATCGCAGCCCCCCAGGGATGGCGAGGTCTAATCTGAGTCCCCGTAGGGCGTCACTCCGCTGGCCCCCCCAGCAGCCCTCGAAAGTGGCGACAGTTTCACAGATCGCAGCCCCCCAGGAATGGCGAGGTCTAATCTGAATCCCCCGACTCCGCTGGGCCCCCCAGCAGCCCTCGAAAGTGGCGACAGTTTCACAGATCGCAGCCCCCCAGGATGGCGAGGTCTAATCTGAATCCCCGTAGGGCGTCACTCCGCTGGGCCCCCCAGCAGCCCTCGAAAGTGGCGACAGTTTCACAGATCGCAGCCCCCCAGGGATGGCGAGGTCTAATCTGAATCCCCGTAGGCGTCACTCCGCTGGGCCCCCCAGCGGCCTCGAAAGTGGCGACAGTTTCACAGATCGCAGCCCCCCAGGGATGGCGAGGTCTAATCTGAATCCCCGTAGGCGTCACTCCGCTGGGCCCCCCAGCAGGCCTCGAAAGTGGCGACAGTTTCACAGATCGCAGCCCCCCAGGGATGGCGAGGTCTAATCTGAATCCCCGTAGGGCGTCACTCCGCTGGGCCCCCCAGCAGCCTCGAAAGTGGCGACAGTTTCACAGATCGCAGCCCCCCAGGGATGGCGAGGTCTAATCTGAATCCCCGTAGGGTCACTCCGCTGGGCCCCCCAGCACTCGAAAGTGGCGACAGTTTCACAGATCGCAGCCCCCCAGGGATGGCGAGGTCTAAGCGTTGCTGGGCCCCCCAGCGGCCTCGAAAGTGGCGACAGTCACAGATTGGCGAGGTCAGATCGCAGCTCCCCAGGGATGGCGCTAAGGTCTAATGAATCCCCGTAGGACGTCACTCCGCTGGGCCCCCCAGCGGCCTCGAAAGTGGCGACAGTTTCACAGATCGCAGCCCCCCAGGGATGGCGAGGTCTAATATGAATCCCCGTAGGACGTCACTCCGCTGGGCCCCCCAGCAGCCCTCGAAAGTGACGACAGTTTCACAGATCGCAGCCACCCAGGGATGGTGACCGCAGGCGGGAGGAGGCGGGAAGGAAGGAAGGAAGGAAGGAAGGAAGGAAGGTGGAGACCGCAGTGCTCTATTCAAAACGAGTACCCAACACAGGAGGGTTGGGAACAACTGAAAGGTCGTCTTGGAGCAGGAGGACACCATGACGTCGGGATCGGAGATGGAGAAGGGGAAGCTGGCGCGGCGCCGCCAGGGCGTGCCTAAGAGAAGGCGGAGAGGCAGGAGGGGTTGCCACACCTTGCGATGTGAGCGCCGCGGTCTTCCTCCTCTGGCTCTTCCTCCTCGGCTACCTTTGCAGACGAACTTTCGCAAACTGTCCAGACGAATGTTCACGGCGCTGATGCGAGGGCCCCCTTTAGAAAAGTAAGTTCTTCTATCTTTGTAACTGCTGCAAGCTGTTAGGATCAAATGTGTGCGGCGCTATGGCGAGAATCCCCCATTTTGAAACGGAATCTTCTTCCATCGTCGTAATTGTGACGAGCTTTCAAGACAATGCGCGTTGCGCTAAGGCGAGAGCCCCATGTTGAAAACCCACCTCTCTCCATCCGCGCCGCGTGACTGTTGCAAACTGTTCAAACACATGTACGTGGCGCTACAGCGATGCCTCCGTTTCGAACACCACCACCCTTCCGTTTACGCGACCGATGCACATGTTTAAGGCGAATCAGTGCGGCGCCAATGCAAGAGCTTCACTTTTGAAAACGACCCCACTGCATCCTTGCAGCTGTTGCGAGCGGCTCTCAAGCTTCAACATCATACGTGGTGAGGAAGTATCAGGCGAATCGCCCGGCCCGCCACACCGACACGTTGTGGGGGCTCGACAGGGAGGAGTTCTTTTCTTTCAACAGGGATGGAGGATGAGGCGTATGAAGAGATGGATGGCGTGGAGCCACCTGCCGCCCTCTCAGGCCGAGCCGACACGTTTTGAGTCTCTCGGTCGGTCCTTCGCCGCGCTGCCGCTGTCCTGCCTGAGTTGCCCGGGCAGCTCGCGTTCCAGTGCCGGTGCTGCTTGACATCGAGCAGGGCGAGCCCAAGCCTTCGTGGGATGGCTCGTCGAGTGCCCCTCCCGAGCCTGCCCGCGCGATCGGCCAGAACGTGATTGTTCTGTGCGTGCTCAGCTGCACAGACAGCATAGTTAGCGCGTGTGCGTGTTCAAAGTGCGTGGCGCACCCTGCTTGAGGGCAAGATCGAAATCTCGCTCGCGTTTGCCCAAACATCCCCCCAGTCGAAGTTTTCTGCGAAGCCAACATTGAAGTCTGTAGGTGCGGGCAAGCACCCCAAGCTTGCATCAGTCCAGGTCGAGACCTCGTCCCTGGCAGAATGGTCTGGAAGGCATCACGCTGATGCAAGCATGACAACTCCTTATCATCCTCTTTCCCCTCCTCAACTGCAGGAGCGAGGAGCAGCAGGCAGTCATTCGCAAGTTTTAACGCATTCGCCCCATGCAGTTTGCAGCCCCAGCTTCTGAGTAAGCTTCTTGCATGTGAAAACTGTATGGCTCCAAGATGCGCAGGCTGATGATTCCTATCTCCAAGCCCGCGCTTGAGCACAGTACAATTTCTTTGCTAATGAATAGTGAGGAACCTAGTGTTTTACTGGGCCCCGGCTCGCTGGCTATCTCGAGCTCGAGGAGCAGGCCTCCATTGCCCCTCGAGAGTAAGCTGGGCGCAGCAGCCAGTGGCTGATTTCGGCATTGCGCCGACGAGTGCCGAAAGGCACCGTCGCTGGCGCCCTCCTATCGAGGAGTGCCGAGGTCATGCTTTGAGGGTGCAACCCGGAGTTTTCTTCCAGGATCGTCGGAGTTTCGGCTTCACAGGAGCATGACCTTACCTTCCTCCTCCTCCTCCTCCTCCTCATCCTCCTTCTCTTCCTTCTCCCAGGTGACCATCATCCCCCCTCCTCGGCTCCTGCGCTGACCTCTCTAGGAGTGGCTCGAGGGCAGCACCCAATCGCGAGCTCACCAGGCGTGCGCGGGCCTCCCGTCCCAGGCCTCCCCCTCCGCGCGGCGCCGCCGGCGGGGATGATTTTGTACGACGAGGGGAAGTGGAGTATCCTGTCTGAAGGGCTTCGCCATCGATCCGATTCGATAGCTTGGGCGTTCGGTCATGGACCCCTCCTCGGAAGCAGCCATCCAGCCGTCGCGTCAAAGACTGCCAGAAACCACCGACGACTGCCGAAGACCGTCAGAAGACGATCGAAGACCGCCGAACACCGTTCGAAGACTGCCGAAGACGGCCCAGGGCCGATAGGCAACCAGTGGCCCATGGCTTGAACCCGTGAACAGTTGATCCTGGCCGGCTGGAAACAGCTCGATTCCGAGACCGCCGACGATCCGATGCGGCCCGATGTTTACCCAGCGTTGCTGGGCATCTTGGCGCGGCCGATCCGATTCGACTTCGGTCCAGTTCCGATGCAGACCGATCTGACGCACATTCCGATTCAAATTGGTTTCCCGATTCGATATTGGCTGATCTTGCCCTGGGGTCGTCACAGATCGATCCAACCCACAGGAACAAGGCGATTGAGGAATCCTGCGCTGCTTCACTCGGCATTGGAAGTCGCAGCGTGCCGGTGAAATCTCCCATCGGTCTGGCTAATCGACGTGCGGTTTGCCCGAAACCGTCGGTAGTTCTTGGGCGTTGATGAACGGTTGCGCAAGTCTGTCTGATAGTGCTTGATAGTTGTTTCTGTAGTTATGCCGCCCGTGCGCATTCGGAATGCGGTGCCGCGCGCACCCTTGGAGTGCCCCCGAGCCGCTTTCACCAAAGGATCTTGTCATCGAGGAACACTTCACATTCGTAAACATAAACTTTCGGAGCTCCGCGCGGCTTTCTTGGAGCTGAGCTGGGTTGCCCTGGCGGCACCTCCGTCGCCGCCCCTGACGCACTCTGCGCGCCATGAAGGGGGCCCAGCACATCCATGATCAAGGTTTGCCTCCGCGCCCACACATCTCGAGCCTCCAACCTCGGTCCTCGAACCTGGTGGCTCGAACATGGTGAACCAGCCGCGGCCCCCGAACTCCAGACCCAGTTATATCCGGCATTCCTTGTGTCAGCAGGATGACCGTGTGGTCGCCGCTCGCGAGAGGCGCACGGGGGGGTCTGGCGGATTCGCCTTCCAGCTGCACGGCTCGGTGATCGACAGGTGCGTCGTGCTCGCGGTGCCTTGCGCGCTGCTCGCCGTCGCGCTCAACATCACCTTGCAGAGGCACCCCTCGAGGTCGAGAATCTAGGAGGATCGAGGAAGGGGAACGAGGAGAAGGTGGAGGAGCGATGATCCACGATCAAGGCCGTGGGAGCGTTCCAGGGGCTCTACCCGAGGAGGGGTCGAGGAGTAGCCCAGATTTCCAACGGTTTGATTGCTTCAATCCCAGGCCGTGTTCCCAACCATCCTGTGGTGTTGGGCCCTCGTTTTGAAGAGAGCGCCCCGCGTCTCTCACCTCACCTCACCTCCCCCGCCTCTCCCTCCGCACGCCTCGTGGTCCCATAGGGAGCTCCACCCAAGGCCCCAGTGCCAAAGTTCGCATGCGGTTCCCCACCCATTTCGGTACACCCATCACACGCTTCGCGGCCCCAGCGAGAGCTCCACTGCAGATCCCAGTCGGAGTCGTTAGCTGCGCTCCCTTCGTGTGCCCTGCCGCTGCCGCCGCCGCTCCCTTTCGCATAGGTTGGCGTCGGCAGCGAGGATTCGTTGTGCTTAGTAAATGGACGTTCGCGCGCGGCCGTCCTCCCCCCCTTCGGCCTGCTACACCTACACACATACATGTCTTATATTGGCTTTAGTACCTTCGTTCAACGGGCACTCCTAAGAGTTAGCCATGGTTTCAAGGGGCGAAGGTCGCATGCGGATCCCCATTTCGATACATCCCTCACTCGCTTTGTGGCCCCATCGGCAGCTCCACCGAAGGCCCAGTTGGCAAAGTTCGCATGCGGTCCCCCGCTCATTCCAGCACACCCTCACACGTCTCGTGGCCCCGTAGGGAATTCCACCGAAGGCCCACATGCCAAAATTCGTACGCGTTTGCCCCGTTTTTGTGGGCACACCCCTCATACGGTTCGTGGCCCCATAGGGAGCTCCACCGAAGGCCCCAGTGGCAAAATTCGCATGCGGTTCTCCGCCCATGTCGGATGTCCCGGATGAGAGGAATGATTGAATACCGAGGGTTCCGAAGCGGGAACTTACCCGTATTCACCATCTTGGAGGCCGATCTCGCAGGAATCCAGCAGCAGGCAGAGAATGCTTATGGGCATCTTGGGTCCCCATGGGGCTCGAAGGTATAGAGATCCCACGCCTCCCGAGATCCTGGGAGACCGTGGTTCCGTAGGCGGTGGATCTGGATAAACCCGTCCTCGGAAGGGTCGAGGATCGAGCAGGATCGGAGATCTACGTCTTCGCGTGTCTTGGTGGAAAGCTTCTGGGGAGGGCGCGCCCCTGGGGACATCCGAGCCGAGGTATCCCGAGACGCGGACGCAGCTGGAGGGTGACCTGAGCGCCTCCGTCCACCAGGTGGGAGGACGCCATCCGTACACCCACACCGGTCCTGGCCTGGCCAATCTTTAGCCAAGGATCGGTGTACACGCCTTCCCGGCCATGCCAGGGTGGCCCTGGCCAGGATCGGTGTGGGTTTATAGTCGCTGCCTCACTTCTAGGGTTTCTCCTTCGTCCTCGGCTTCCTCATCGTGTTCCGAACGCAACAGGCGTACTCGCGGTGGTGGGAGGGCGGCACGCTGTTGCAGCAGCTCAGGGGCGATTGGTTCAACGCGTTCAGCAACCTCATGGCGTTCCTTAACCCGAGCGAGGACCCCGTGATGCAGGAGAAGGCACCTCTGTGGGCCTTCCTGTCCCCTCGTCGCCACTGCTGGCCTCGGACTCCTTGCCAGGCCACACCTCCAGAGTTAGATTGGGCCAGTATGGATTATGCCACCAGGGCCCGCTGTGTGAAAAATCTCTGGAACTTCTTCTGGGGGAGTCTCCAGATTGTATCTGGGCATTTCCACAATCTCTGGACATTCCTGGGTTTCAGAATTTGTCTGGGGAAATCTCCAGAAAATCTCGGTGGTGCAGGAGTCTCTGGAAAATCTCCGGCAACATTTTCTGGGCGTGCAGGAATCGTCAACAAATAGTCATAAATTCCACGGAAAATCTCCGGCGTGCAGACATCATGTGAATATATGATTTGAAATCATCCACACAATCTACGGAATAACCTGCGGCGTAGATCCCCCTGGAGATGTAAGGCGCGAAAGTGTTTGGGAGATTCGCTGCCATACTTTGAAGGCGCGACGATGTTTTAGAGATTCGCTGGGCAAATTTTCAGGCGCGAAGGTGTTTTGGAGATTTGCCAGAAGATTGTTTTGGAGTTTGGAGATTCGCGGGAATCCGCGGGACAATTTTTACTGAGATTCCATGGCGGTCACGTTTGCCATGTAATCGACCCAGTCTAATAGCAGAGAAGCGTGGGGAGCAGTGGCATCGGTATCTTTCTTTTGCCCCAAGGGTTCTGCTGCGCTTGAGATTGACCGACCGTTCGCCAGAGTGAGCTTCTGTTCTGTGGCCTTCGTGTGTGGATCTGGCCCCCCCCTGCACAGGATCACTCGTGCATGTAGGCGAATCTTTCTGTTCCCCCAGAGGTGGAGATCTTCCAGCACAAGATGGTGCGCCTCTTCAGCCTGCTGTACGGTAGGGGCCTCGAGCAGGTGCACACGATGAAGACGCCACCCCAGTTGGAGTATGTCAACCCTGAGGGCTTTCAGAACGCGATCGCATACATGAGACCAGACATGACGCACGACGCGTGCGAGTTGGTTCTTCAGTGGATTCAGAGGCTCATTGTTGAGGCTAACACCGACGATATCGTCAAGATTGCTCCCCCGATCTTGGCGCGTGTCTACAACCAGCTTGGGCAGGGGATTGTGAAGTTGAATGACGCCCGCAAGATAAAGGAGTTCATTGTGCCTTTCAATCTCGCGCAGCTCATTGCGATGCTGCTGATCCTGCACTGGATCGCCACCGCGATAACGTGCGCCATAATGTTGTCGAATCCAGCGATGGCAGGCTTTACAGCATTCCTCGTCTGTTTCTCTTACTGGGGCGTGAACTACATCGCGGTGGAGCTGGAGAACCCATTCGGCGACGATTGGAACGACTTGCCGCTCGAGGAGATGCAGGATGACATGAATAGAAGCCTCATCTCCTTGCTGAGAAAGCACGCCGTCAGGCCGCCGAAATTTGACTTCGTCGCGGACCGCGACAAGGATCTGGAGAAATCCCTTGTGAGAGACTTCCCGTCGAACGCTGGAGGTCCTCAGAGTCGTTTTGGCCTTTTCAATGCTGTGGTCCTCAACGGAGTCGTCTCGAGAAGCGCCGGTGGATCTAACCTAGAGCCTAGAGGGCCGCACCTTCTCGAAACGATCTCGTTCTTGGTGCAAGTATTGACCGGATCAAGATGAGTCCGTCGAGGCGAGGTGGTTTCACCAGCGGTGTGTTCGCGGTTCGCCAGGAAGTTGATGCAGGGCGAGGGCCACTGCACCTCCAGCAGCAGGACGGCCGGTCACGTGGACAACTGCCGCGATGGCAACTGCACAGTCGGCAGCGGGACGGACGGCTTGGCGACCGATAAGTTGTACAGAGACGGCGTGCTCGCGACCGTGGAGCCGCCCGCCGAGCTCAGGATCGAAGCTAAGTGGCACGACGAGGACGCCTCGCCACCGACCCCCGCCACGGTGGGCAGGCAGGAGGCAACCGAGGTGTCCTCGCCGGCGGGCAGCCACGCCGCTCTGCTGCCGAAGGCGCAGCCGAGAGCCTCGCCGGGCCGCGGCCAGTGGAACAGGGGCGCGGGACAGAGCCGGCCCAGCCTCGGCGGTGCAAACGCGGGGGGGCCCTCTTCCTGCACCACCACCACCACGCCTGCCCAGGGCCACGGCGCATGCGCCCCCATCCTGGCCGAGGCCAGGAGGGTCTGTACGCCATCCTAGGGCCCAGGATGGATGGCCCTGGGTCCAGGCCGCCCAAATGCGGCCAGTGTAGATGGGATCGGAGAATCACGCCGCATTGCCGATGCATCGGCGACGCGGCGCGATCTGCATCGGCGATGCGGCGCGATCCTCGGACCCCATCTGCTACCGCTCTGTCCAGCTGCCTATGGCAAGTCCCGCCACTGTATCTGGGTTGTGTGTGAAGCCTCTTGTATTCGTAGGGATCTCGTGGTAGGCCTCTTGGAGGCCATTATGGGGCCTCTTTGGGCCTGTTTTGGGCATCTTGAGGGCTTCTTGGGGGCCTCTTGGGGTCTCGGGCGCCTCTTGAAACCTCCTGGGGGCCTCTTGGGGCGGAAGGCTCAGCTTTTCAGTTCGTGTTCCCTCTCCTGGACTCCTTTCGGGTCCATCTTGGGGCCCTCTTGGGCCGTCTTCGGCGCCTCTTGGGCCGTCTTAGGGCGCTCAGGCCTTCTGAGGGCCCTCTTGGAGGCTTCTTGGGCCGTTTTGGGGTGGTCTTGCGGGCCTCTTGTGCCGTTTGGGAGCGTCAGAGAGCCGAAAAGGCGAGAACGCCAAACTTCTTTCAAACACCGAATGGAAGTCAATGGTGTTTGCCTCTTGGGGCCCTCTTGGGGGGCCTCTTGGAGGTTTCTGGGGCGTCTTGAAGGCCTTTGGGCCATCTGGAGGCCATCTTGGGCGTCTTCTAGCGATCGTTCGGCGACTCTGGTCCCTCTTGGAACGTCTTGGGAGCTTCCTGGGCCGTCGTGGGGATCCCCATGGGTGTGAACGGGAGGATGGGGGGTCCCTCAGAAGAATACAGGAATCCTGCCAGGCAGCCCTTGGCATTCTTCCACGCCTCCACGTGCCGCAGGCACGCTGGCGGACGTGGACGGTCTCTAAGGATGGCCCTGGCCACGGGGCCAAACATCCGACGCCACTGTTTCCCGCAGTGTTGGCTGCTCGTCAGGGCTCGGCGCCTTCCCGAGACGTTCTTCGACGGCCTCGGGGACATCTGAGGGCTCCTAGAGGCCAACAATTGTCGACCATCTCCGTGGCTCCGGACAGCTGTGGGGGTGATCTTGGGGGCCTCTTGGGCCGTCTTGGGGCCTCGGGAAGCCGAGAAGGCGAGAACTCCAAAATTATTTCGAAGCCTAAGGGATGTCAATGATGTTTGCCTCGTGGGGCCCCCTTGGGGGGCCTCTTGGAGGTTTCTGGGGCGTCTCGGAGGCCTCTAGGGCCATCTGGAGGCCATCTTGGGCGTCTTCGGGCGATCGTCCGGCGACTCGGGGCCTTCTTGGACCGTCTTGGGGACATGCTGGAAGCCTTGGAGAGCCCCACGGAGGCGCCATGGGATTGGTACTAGGGGCGATGCAATCCGGTGGGTGTGACGGCGTCACGTAGAAGACTACAGAAACCTTGCAAGACAGCCCCTGGCTTCCTTCCACGCCTCCACGTGCCGCAGGCACGGTGGCGGACTTGGTCGGCCTCCAAGGATGGCCTTGGCTGGGCGCATTGTTATTCGTTTATTTGTTTATACATATATATATATATATATATATCCGGCGACGCTATGTCTCGCCACGTGGACTCTTCGTCGTCAGGTCTCGGCGCCTTCCCTGGGGTCCAGCTTGTAAGCCTGAGTCGTTGTTCGACGGCCTCGGGAGCCTCTGGTGGCCCCCAGAGGCCGACAACAGTCAACCCGCATAGTGACGACCCGCGACCGTCAACGGTTACCCTTGCACCCTTCCCTTTCGGCCCATCCTTTGCCGCTTTCGCTGGCCGAGCCCCGCCCGCAAAGTTTCGACATGGGCTTCCAAGGCCCTGGCATCCTTATCGTGCTTCCATACTATACGGATTGACGGAATTGCCGACAATATCCGGCCGTGTCTTTTGTTATCCTTAAAGAGAGGGGGTCTGTGCACGCCATCTAGGGGTCCCATGCTGGCCCTGGACAGGCGCGGGGGTGGTGCACGAGGGCTCCTCCGCGGAGGTGCAGACCCGGCCTCGAAGACCTCCCAGGCCGTCAAGGCCGCAGAAATCGTGGGCGGCAGCGGGGCCATGGCGGGGGGCCATGATATCTCTCCAAATTTCATGGCGCCTCTTCCTATTTCAATATGTCCCCGCCCCCCCCCCCCACACTCTGAGCCGCGCACGTGACGCCGCCCATTATTTGCGCCCCTGCACTTCTTGGACGCCCCCCTCCTAGACGCAGCCGAAGAAAGCTATGAGCTTGCAGCCAGGAAGGTGCAAAGAGCCGGCGGAAGACAAACAAGGAATGGTGAATGCTTCAAGCCCCGGCTGCAGGTTTCCTGGGTGCGCCAAGCGGCCCCACCGACAATATGATTATTCGAGCAGCTTAGCTTCCGTGTGTAGATGTACATGGATACGTGCTGTCTAACAAGCTCGTAGGTGGGCTGTGGGATTTGGGATCGGGCGGGTGACGTTGCCTCCCGTGGCCTCCCGTGGCTTCCCGTTGCCTCCCCATTCCTCTCGTAGCCTCCTGTTGCCTGCCGTGGCCTCCCATAGCCGTCCTTATTTCTACGTCTATAATTTACCCCTATTCCTTTTTTCATGTTCCCTTTTATTCCCATTTCGATGCTTATCCCTGTATCCCCATCGGTATCGCTAGCCCGATATCGCCATCCCTATACCTATCCCGATGGCCCTCTAATCGTGGTTCCTCTCGTAAGTGGGTTCAGAAGTTTAGGGCCTTCTGCCGCAAGTGTGTGTGTGTGTGTGTGTGTTTGCATCCGCGGCCCCAGAGATCCCGACCCCTCCCCCAGGTGCATTCATTTGATGCCCCAGGTCCGGTATGGTCCGCGGGGCACCAGAGGCCCTCAAAAGTTTCAAGGTCAAGTCTGGTCGAGGAGCACACGGAGGGCCCTCGGTCCGCCATCGGAGACGGAGGGCGTGAGACGCTATGGCAGTGAAACGCATTCAAGATAAACTTGGCGGGTTGGGCAGCAGTACAATGCATGTTTCATACAGCATGCGTTCCACCACGTGTAGTTCAGAAGTGTACTTTCAATGAAACCGCCAGGGGAAACGCTCGTAGGTGCGGAGAGCATTCGGCAAATCGAGGACGAAATCGTCAGGATTTAGAAAACCCATGCGTCGGAGATTCGGGCCCTAGTCTATCAGAAAGTCCCGACAGTGGGCCCCAGACAGGGTCCATTTCAACCTGATCGATCCAATTCGGTACTGATTTCGGCCAGCGCCATCCCATTGGATTTCCTTATCCCGGCGATCCGATGCGGCTTCCGCCCCAGAGCGATGCGTGCCGATGGGATGCCCGCTCCGAACGGGTCCGATGTCTCGACTCGATGCTCGCCGCATCGGCGATGCGTCGGCGATGCGGCTCGATGCGGAGCCCGATGTCTCCGCGCCGTCGGCGATGCATCGGCGATGCGTCGGCGGTTCGGCGCAGTCTGCCGAAGCCGATTCGCTTCGAGCTTCCCTCGAGAGCGACGCGCATCGATGGGCTGCACGCTCCGCCCCGCTCCGATGCCGCGATCATCGGTGCTGGCCGAGCCTGCCTGGAGGCCAGCGCCCCCCGCAGCCCCGGCCGCGACCGAGCTCCGCCGCACGGCCAGCACGGCGAGGGCTGGCGACCGCCCGCGTCTCCCGCGGGCGGCCTCTGCGGCGGCGTCGCGGGGTCGCTGTGCCTGGGCAGCGGGCGTAGCGGGCAGCTTCTCGGGGCGGAGCGCCGCGCGGGCTCTTGCAATCAAAGGGCAGGAGCACCCAACCAGCCTTAGGCAGGTCTCTTACAGCGTCGGGGGAAGGCGGAGCATCTGTACAGAACAGCGTTTGGCTCGAACTCGCTGAGCAAGCAAGCAAGGCTGCCAGCCGAGGTAATTAGCAGAGCCGTGGCAGAGCAAACGCATCGTGTCGCCAGAGCGTGCGCAGTGCCCATGTCATGATTGGCCTCGCCTTCTCTCGATGCCGATCTGAAGGATTGCCTCCGTTTCTCTGGGCGCATCCCTTTTTCATTGCCATCGCCCTTGGCCCTTGGGCTTTTCGGACTGGGGGATAAGGATGAGATCGAGGCTGGTTAGCGCCGCACGGGCTCTCGGAGGCCACGAGCCCAGATCCCCGACGATGTGATGCTGTCAAACGCGACGCTGTGCTCGCATTTCGGCCGTCGGGGGCGGATCTGGCACCCCGGGGCAGTCACGGATCCCGGGCGCGCAGGGCTTCCCCCCGGGGAAGGGGTGGGGCGATCTGGGGCCGCGGGCGGAGAAGTCCATAGAGGAGGAGGAGGAGGAGGAGGAGGAGGAGGAGGAGGAGGAGGAGGACGACGACGAGGTGGAGGAGGAGGAGGACGACGACGAGGTGGAGGTGGAGGTGGAGGTGGAGGAGGAGGAGGAGGAGGAACGCAGGCGTCCGACGACTCACACAGAACCTGCGCGGCCAGCGTCGGTCGCCACACGTGGCCTCCGGCGGCCTCGGGGCCGTCACAGAACCATGCAGGAGTGGAGAGAGCCGGCCCCGGGCAAGGGGGGGTCGCAGAGGTCCTGGGGGGGCCACGCGTCGCACGATGCGAGGCGCTGGGTGCACGTCGGCCATGCGCAGAGGGGGGGTGGGGGGGAGGGGGGAAGGCTTCTTGGAGGGGGGCTGCTTCTTCGAAGGCGGGGGTTCTTACATCTGGAGACAGGGCCCGCACCTTCTGAGAAGCAGCCTCCTGTTCAGAGCCCTCCCCCCCTCCCCCTATCCCCTCTGCGCGTGGCAGAGTATGTGAGTGCACATCGCATCCCGAAGCTGCAGATTAGAGTGAGGGGGCGGGCGCCGGGTGGGTCGCCGTGTGGGTCGCGGGGGGGACGACGACGGGGACGACGACGACGACGACAAGAACAGCAATCATTTCAAGATTTCTCGCTCTTCGAAGCTCGCGTGTCAATCAATATGTATATCCCAAACCCTCGATCGCCGCCTAGCCGCCCTTTGATGGGTATATCCTCTGTTCCTGCCACGTGTAACTGGCGCAGTCTTTTAGAACAGGAATGTTAACAATGATGGCAAAATGGGCGAGGAGGAACGGGGCAAGAGGGAGGGAGGCAGAAGATGGAGGGAGAGAGGGGTGAGTCAGAGGGATTAGCAAGAGGGGAAGACAAGGACGCCTCAGGCGAGAGCGCGGATCCGGAGTTAAGTATGAGGAATTTCAGAGCGAGGGCGCGATTCCAGCGCCGAGAGAACGACTTGTATTCTATGTATAAGGAAGTCTCAGGCAAGACCGCGATTCTTGGAACACTTGCCAGGAAGTCTCTAGCAAAAGCCAGATTTGTCAATAGAACGTCAGGAATTATCAGGCAGGAGCCGTGGTTGTAAAACAGGGCCCATGACAGCGTTTGGAGTCTCAAGGCTTCCCCTTGCAATTTAATTGGGTACGTGCCCCGGGCGGGGCACTTCAATGTAAGAATCACAATAAGCACCTGACGGTGGAGGTGAACAATAATGGTTCCTCATTGGTGAGAGTTCAATCATTTAAAGACTGGTCGCTCTCATCTGCTCGCATCCCAGCGAATATGTCCATCCCAGACCATTTGCACGCGCCCTCTTGTATTCCGTCGGGAGGCTGCATGATACATACACGCATGTATACATATATACATATATATATATGTCTATATTGATACAGACCTATATGTCCTCATATGCACCTTTCCACGGGAGTAGAGCTCAGAGGCGATTAATTGGAGCCGGCCTCTTTTACATAGCCGTGTCGCTCCAGACATTCCCAACTTCCGAAAATTGGACGCACCCCTCACGCAGATCGCGATGTCACGGACCGCAAGCTCCGTGAAGTTTCACACGTGTTTAGTAAAGCTTCCAAGCACACAGTGGTTTCTAATGCTTTTGGACGTCGTTTTTAGAAGACCAGCAGTTTCGCATCAGACACGCCATTATCAGTGAAACCCGATGTATTCAAAGTTGTCCTCGATTTTTACATACACAGCCAGAAACAGTTTCGCTCGAGACCTCCCCTAACCATTCGGCTTCGGAGCTTCATCCCACTTGCAATCGCAAGGTGTGCGATATCTTCCTGCGCCACACAAACATACTCACACATAAACGCACGCACGCACTCACGCACGTACGCACGCACGTACGCACACAGCCGCACGCGCGCACGCACGCACGCACGCACGCACGCACGCACGCGCACACACACACACACACACACACACACACACACACACACACACACACACACACACACACACACACACACACACACACTCACACACACACACACACACGCACACACACACACACACGCACGCACGCGCGCGCGCACACACACACACACACACACACACACACACACACACACACACACGCACGCACGCACGCACGCACGCACGCACGCACGCACGCACGCACGCACGCACGCACGCACGCACGCACGCACGCACGCACGCACGCTCGCTCGCACGCAAGCACGCACGCACGCACGCACGCACGCACGCACGCACGCACGCACGCACGCACACGCGCATCACAAGGTGTGGTGAAACCACGTGCGTTCGACTGCGAGCCCGTTGCCACACCTCCTTCCCAACAGCCCCCTTGCAACTCTTCATTCTCCTCCTTCACGTTGTTTGTTTCGCTTGTTTCTCCATCTCGCTCCTCGTCCTCCTCCTCCTCTTCCACCTTCCGTAGCCATTGTGGCGCAAGACGGCTTCTTTTGACCTGCGGCTCAAGCGAGCTTAGCGCATGTTTTGATTGTCTCTTGTACTGTTTATTCTCTTCGCGGGCGTTTGTAGATTGGTCTGCATTGGTTCTTTCTCTGGCACGGATGGATGATTCTTTCGCTCAAGTTTCTGTATTAGCTGCCAAAGCTCTTCGACTCTTGTCTTCTTGCTCAGGTGCACACTACAATGGTCTTCAGATGGCTGCGCACGCTCACCGACGCGTCATTTCGACGTCCTCGAGGAGAAGGCTCCACCAGCTCGGAGTCACATGCCAGGTGCTTCGCCACTTCACCACTCCGTGGGCTGAGTCGTTCCTCGATTCTCTGGAGGCGGAGCTGAAGTCTGCTTACCCCGAGTGCGAGGTTGTGCGGCCTATCATGGTTTCTCGCTATGCTGGGCGGGTGCAGCAGAGTACATTACGTCGAGAAGCGCCTACCTTCACACCATCAACGCCGGCTGTGGTCAGTACACAATTCATCTCGGTCCCTGACATGTTGCAACACTCCAGTTCGGTTTACGACAAACAGTTGGCTTCTTACCAGGGGCTGATTGACGCCCAGAATGCTTCTTTGGCGAATCTCCGTGGTGTTCTTGATAAGCTCGGGGAGCGGCACGCCTCTGGGAGTGAGGAGCCGAGTGAAACGGTGGCCTCGAGTGCTGTGGACAATGCCTCAGCTACCCCTTCTGGTATCGACGAGCTGTGGGACGAGATAGACGTCATCAAGCATGGGATGGATACCGTCAAAGCGCAGATCGATGACCTCTCCTGCCGCTTCGACGGCAAGCTCCGCGAACAAGCTGCAACCTTTTCTCAGTTCGTATCTGATAGTTTGAGGAAGAGTGTGAATGATGTGATCAAGGAATCCAATGCCCCGATTATTGACACTCTGGTGGTATTGCAGCAGCAGCTTGCCGACCCGCTCGAGCAGATCGATGGCTTGAAGGCCAAAGTTGCGGAGCTGGAGGCCGTACTTCGCGGCTCTGGCCGCTTGGCTCCCTCTGCTCACTGCCAGGGCCCCGCTACTGCCAGTGCTGATGAGCGTTTGTGCAAATATGGACGGCGGTGCCACCGCCCCGACTGCGTATTCCACCACCCCGAGGGCCGCCTCATCGAGGACACCAATGAGCCCTTGCGCTCTGCATCGGCGCCGCGAGGACGAAGCGCGTCCCGTTCGGCTGCTGCGGCAGCCCCGCGGCACTCCAGCATCGGCCCCGCCAAGATCGAGCCTACGGCATCACCGATCAACTACGACCGCTTCGATGAGATAGTGTTGGAGGATGCCCTGCGAGAACATCTGTCCCTCGGGGGCTCCTCGCCTGCTGGATGGTCTGGCGGGCTTTTTCTGGCAGATCTGCCGCCCGAGCCTGATGTCGACTGATGTCCTAGTGGCCGATGCCATGCACCTGCTGCTCTTCGGCAGGGTCGTCGCCAGCTTCTGGGTCCTGGTGTATGGCTTCAATTCCGCCGCGGTCTCGCCCGCGCTCCCATGTATCCTGATTATGTACTAAGGATAAGATTGGGTTCTCTTGCTTATCGTGGAGCGCCTACCGCTCTTCGTGGTCTCTGCCGTCGGCGGCCTCTGGGTGCAGTCGTGCGCCATCTCGGTCGCCGCCGACGCGGGGGAGTTCCCGTGTTAGACGTTCATTCGTAAGGCTTCCGCCTTCACTTACCCATCCCCTCGGATCGCGGATCTTCTGTGTGTTCGGGAGTTGTGGGATTATGAGACTCTTTTCTTACGCTCGTCTCCTCCTCTTCCACCTCCTTCCCTCGGATCCGATTTTTCATGCCTCTTCTCGTCTATTTTCTGAAATATTTACGTGCTGCAGTTCTTGCTGTATGAGCCTTGGCACGCACGTGTCGCTTGTGTACGTGGATGTGTCTATCATTTTCCTTGTGTGTAATGGCTTTCGGCCGCTCCAAGCGGGCCGGCGGGAGAAGAAGGCCAGCGGCAAAAACCGGACGGGCGGGTCGGGAGGGCGGATCATAACGGGCGGGTCGGCAGTCGGGCCCAGACGGCCGGGTCGAGCGGGCGGGTCGATGAAGCGTCAGTTCTGAATGAACTTCAGGCACTTCTTGCGATGGCGCGATTCCCAAGTGAATCTTGCGAAAGTCCCGAGCGAGATCGAGATTCCTGAGTGTGGAGGGAGCGGCATTTTCATACATAGCGAGGGCCAACTGCGAGGAAGTCCCACGCGAGAGCGAAGCCTGGATAAAATGTGAGGAAGTTCGCGCGAGAGCGCGATTATGAATAGATTGTGCGGTAGGATCAGGCGGGAGCAACTGTTGTTGTATTCCAGGGACCAGGGGCGCAGTCTGAGGCGGAATGGGGGGTCCGGGAGGCGAACCACACACACTGGGCAATGGGGGGGAGAGGATCAAAAGTCGTTATTGCTTATATTAAAAAACTCAATGCCAAACAAGCAGAATCTGGGCCAAGGCTTTCCGCTTCACCAACGCACCCAGGGATGGTGTAAGATCCTTACTGGACCGGGCTAGGACGAGGATAACTCCGTTCCAGAGCGTTCCAGAATGCTCCGAGAGCGTTCCAGAACGCTCTGAGAAGGCCGCGGTGCCCGGGACGTCCTCCAAAGCCCCCAGATTTCAGCGATTCTCGATTCAGCCTCACCCGATGTTATTTTTGTCTTGGTTTCGTCTCACGTTAGGACCCCTCACTCTGACCCTGGTGTCTTGTTTGTCGCGTCTCATGCCATCTTCGCGCCTCCATGACCAGCGCCTGGGGGATCCACCCCAGGGGACCTCGTCATGCAGTGGGGACGCCCCCCCAAAAAAAAGCGCTCGGCGCGGAATAGAAACTCGTCCCTCCTCCTCCTTCCCCTCCCTCCTCCTTCCCCTCCCTCCTCCTTCCCCTCGCAGTTTCCTATTCTTGCCCGGGGGTTTATGAAAGACCCTTCGGGGATGCATCGTCGATGCGTCGGCGATGCCTCGCGATCTACAGTCAACCCGCATAGTCTGGATGCGCAACCTTCCCAAGGGTACCCTTGCATCCTTGCCTCCTCGACCCGTCCTTGGTCGCTTTCGCTGGCCGCGCCCCAATTGAAAAGCTTCGAAACAGCCTTCCAAGGCCCTTGCATCTTTATTGCGCGTCATTGTGATACGGGCTGACTGTAGTCGAGCCCCGTGGGGCCAACAAATGTAGTACATATTCACCGCCCGCTGAGGTCCCGGTACTGCGATTTCCAAGGCGGCCGACATGGACGAACCCTCGCCTCGCATGGTTGCTCTCGGAAGAGAGCTGTGTCCTCTCGTCCAGGCCTCCCAGATGGTGTCAGAGTAGATGGTGTCGGAGGATCGCGCCGCATCGCCGAGGCATCGGCGATGCGGTTCCATGTGGAGCCCGAGTTTCTCCACGCCAGCGTCGCTGATGCACCACCGACGTCGCCGATTCATCGTGGATGCATCGTCGATTCGTCGGTGATGTCGCGCGATCATCCGACCCCATCTACACTCAACCCGCATAGGAAGGACCAGCACCTTTCCATGGTACCCTTTCGTCATTCCCCTTCGGCCCGTTCTTGGCCGCTCTCGCTGTCCGCACCCCGCTCGCAAAGTGTCGACATGGCCTTCCAAGGCGCTTGCATCCTCATCGTGCGTCCTTATGATGCGGGTTTACTGTGCACCCGGACCCCGTCCAGGAGGCCTCTACCGCAGACCTCCTCTGAAGCCCATCCTAACCGCATGGGTACCTTGCTGTTCCCCGAGGCTCTGGCTGGCGCGCTGGCGCCGCGGCCGGGGCGCCCGGCCACGACGGCGGGCTCCTGGAGAGAGCCGACCAGGACAACGACGCAGGTCGCGGCAGGGTGCGATGGCCGTGACCGCCTTTGCAAGACCAGAGCATCACGTCAACAAAGGCTTGAGGAGGTCCGCCTGATCTCATCCGTCGCCGTGGGGGAAAGGGAGTCCTGAGGGAAACGGGTCTTGAGAGTCTTCGCCGTTTTCGGGCTCTCGGGGCCCTCCACGGGCCCCAGGACTGTCAGGAAACGATTCAGGATGAAGAATTCGTGGTGGGAGAAGGCCCCCAGTGTCCAGGACCCGTTTCCCTCAGGACCCGATTGCCCCTTGCTCACATCAGCGCACTGCTGCACATGTTCGGCGTTGTTCTGAGCCAGAGCAGGTTGCGCGGCCACAGGCTGGATCATATGCTCACTTTGGGGTGGTCACGACTCCGTCAAGAGCGCACGGCAAGATTTCACAGGCCTACGGCGGGTTTCCACGTGAACCCGCGCATCTGGGCTTTCTGATGCTCCCAGCGCTTTCGGAGATCCGCGCCGATGTCTTATACGTCGGCGGTGGACGTGCAAGCGTGTCAGGGTAGGTGGGCGGCAGAGGCGTCGCCATAGGTGCCTGGCGCCGTCCCAAGACGTCCGCGCGGATCTCCGAGAGTTCAAGTTCGTGCAGTTGCTGTCTCTCACTTTGCGCGAACTCGCACGGTGCACCTCAATCCGACCAATGAGATATCTAGGTACCCAAGCGCCCGGCATGCAACTGTCCGGTCAAAATGATCGTTGTTGTGGAAGTGGCCGTTGCTGCCGTCGCAGCGCGCCTTTTTTGTTTCTCGCTGTGCCGCAGTCGTGCAAACTGCGTGCCTGCAATGCTGTTCACATCCGGGTGCAGTATTTGTTGCCACCTCCTACCTCCCCGACCGCCTCCTACTCCGCATCCCCCTTCTCCCCTCTCCTTCCCCCTCCTCTCTTCTCTCCACGTTTCCCGGCACGCAAGGCCCTTCTTGGCACAGGCTGAGCGCACGCGGCTCCGGCCTTCGCCACCTGTCCCTCGTCGGACTTCCAGCCTCTTGCTTCCTCGGCTGCATCCACGAAACCCTCTTCAGATGCTCGTTCTGGGGATCTTCCTGGGGCCCACCCGACGGATCATTCCGATTCCAGTTTGGCAATCGTTCGACTATTGTTCGGCTGAAGCTCGACTCACGTCGACGGACATTTGACGCAGCGCCGACGCATGGTCGGAGTGGTCCCCAGCACGAGCAGCTAATCCTCTCTGGTGCGCCTTCCGGCAGCTCGTTCTCTCGCTGCTCATCTTCGCAACTCCTGCCGCCGCTGCCTCCGGGTTGGGTTCAGATCCTCTATGGATGGGCGCCGGCGCCCGTCTATGCGCGTGGGCTCAGGACGCGATGCGGGCACAGCTGGTGCATCGGCGCGGCGTCAGCCCTCGCGCGGACAAGTGCAAGATCACGCAGCCCTGTCTCCTCTGTCGTCGGCGCGCCTGGGGGACAAGGCCGAGGGGCCCGTCCTTCTCAGAAGGCGGCGGGGGCTTCTCAGATGCCGCGCCGCTTCCTGTGAAGGCCAGCCCCCTCTGCCATCCTGCCTGGGCGCACCGCCGCTTCTTTCAGTCCCCACTGGAAGTCGTCCTCACATCTCCAAGAGCTTTACAGCGTCGACCTAGAACTTTCTGCGTCCGCGCGGACTGCTTGGGTCGGCGCTATTGCCCTCCCTCCGCACAGCATTGGCAGCGCCTCCGGCGCCGCCCCCGGCCTGCCTCGCGCGCCGGGGAAGAGGCTCCAGGATGGGTGTCCGATGCCCTCCCAAGAAAGCTGCTCTGACCTCCGAAAGTTCATTAGTGTTTCATTTTCCCTCACACATCTGGTCTGTAGATATTGCATGTTTTGGTCTGCGGCTGGGTGTGAGCGAAACTGGATCCAGAATCGGTGGCCTGTGGTCCCTCGCATGGGCTGCCGCTTGGTTCCCTAAAGGGCTTGTTTGTTACTGAAGGTCCAAAAAATTGTTTCCAGGCCAGGTGTGAGCGACACTGACTTCGGAATCGGTGGCTTGTGGTGGTCTCCCGTATGGTCTCGCGTCTGATATCCCATAGGGTCTGCCGTGGAGTCTTCCGTATGGTCTCCCGCCGGATTTCTTAAATGGCCCTAGAAAGGTCTCCTTTTATGGTCATTTGCATACTCTCACTTGTAGTCCTTTATAGGGTACCCAGCATGGCTCCTTTGTGTGCCCAGCATGGCGCCTTTGTGGTCTCCCTTATAGCATTTTTCCATTGTCTCCCGTATGGTGCGTTTGTTCTTCTCCCTCATCCTCCTTCCTCAGTGAATTCTACAGTGCTCTCTGCACTACTCTTCTTCACTTTATTTGTCTACTCTCCATCATGCTCTGTTCTGCGCTTTGATGAGCGGTTTGTGGCTTGTCGCCATTGGTCTTGTCGCCGCCATGGGGCCCATGTTGTATCCTACTGTTGCCGTCGTGGCTTGGACTTGTGTGCTGTCGCAGCACATTGTCAGGATGTCTCAAGCGAGGCGCTGGTTCGAGTATTCCCCAGGGGGAGCTGCCAGGGGTCTGACATTCGCCCGTTCGCGCCCAAATTGTGGGGATTTCTCTGGCCGTTGCTTGTTTTGGTGCTCAGACCTCTTTGTTTTCACAGCAGCTTTTGATGGTGGCTCAGGTGGCGTGCCGGTTTCATCACCCCAAGTGGGCCAGAGTGTGGGGATGTCTTTGGCGGTTTGCCTGTTTGGTTACTTGGACCTCTCCGCTCTCAGAGGCGTTGTCTTCAGCACCCCGAGGGGCCCGGCTCGCGGGCATGCCCTGAGCGGTTTGCTTGCTTGGTGGCCGAGACTTGTGTTTTTTTCTTTTCAGGACAGGTTGTGAGGATGCCTCGAGCGGAGCCGTCGGCAGCCCGTTCGCGGCCGGATCGTGGGCATGTCTCGAGCGGTGTGCCTGTTTGGGGGCTCTGACTTCCTGGTTTTCAGAGCATGTTGTGAGGATGTCTCGAACGAGGCGCTGGCTGTAGCGCCCCAAGGGGGGGGGCGCCAGGGATCGTTTCACTCGCATGTTTGCGGCCAGATTGCGGGGATGTCTCGAAGGCGGCGCTCGTTGTGCACATCCGATTCCTGTCCATTCAGAGCCCTCTGATAACTTCGGTACAAGGAGAAGAACGGCCGTCGGGGAGGAGAGGGGGAAGACGGAGTAAGACGCGAGAGGAAGGAGAAGGAGGAAGAAGGAAGACAAGGGAGGGACTACGACGAGGAGCAAGAGGAACAACAGGGGAGGAGGCCGCCAGGGAGGAGGACACTTGCAAGGGAGGAGACACGAGGGAGAAGGACGGAGGGCTACGACGAGGAGGAAGAGCAAGGAGAGGGGAGGGGGGGTGGGAGCCTAGGGGAGGGTGGGTGGGAGCCTGATCACCGCCTGTCTGTCTGTGAGTTGTCGTCGTCTCTGTCCCTCATCCTAGCCACCGTTGTCGTCGGATCTGTCGTCCACTCGGTTTCACGCCATTACCTAGGCACTCACAGCCAGACGGGCATAACTGGACGTGCCGAAACATGATATGCACATACGGGGATCTCCGTGTGTTTAAATATTCGATCCTCATCATCCTTTCTCCTCCTCCTCCTCCTCGGAAGAGGGGCAAGATAATGCTAGGGAGGGAGTGGGGGGAGGGGGCGGGTTAGGGTTCAAGAGGGAGGGAGGGAGGCGGCAAAGCCGGCGGCGTGGGGCATCAGATGAGGCCGGCCTGGAAGAGGCAATCGTCGCCGCCCCCAGCAGAGCGATCAAGCAGTTCTTCTGGTCCTCCTTCTTCTTCGAAGGTGCTCAGCTTCCTCCGCTCAGGGGCACCTGCAGCCGCCGTCGTACCCTGCAGGCCCTGGACCCCCGGGCAAGTTCCAGGGCCCAGGTCTCGAGACCCAGGGCCCAGGCCCTGGGTCCCTGGGTGCGGGGACCCGGGGCTCCAGCCCTGGGTCTCGGGACCCGTGGGCGCGAATGGAGGGGCGGCGCTAAATGAGGGTGGGGAGAAGGTGCCCTTTTCGGGCACTCCAGGCCCCAGGCTGGGCCCCAAAAAGGGCCCCCTTCTAGGGGCTCTCAGGGGCTCCGGTGCGGCAGCCCTCGCTGCCCCCCCCGTTGTCGCCCCCCCCCCACGTACCACCGCCCAGGACCAGGGCCAGCTCCTCGGTACCAGGTGCCCCTGCGCCCTGCTGCCAAGGTTGCGCGGAGGCCCGCGGTCCGAGGGCTCACGCTGCGGTCAAGCCGCCACCGCCCGCCTCCCTTGGCGAGACCGCTCGCTCCTCCGTGCTCCGCCGCCCGTGCCACCGCCGCGCGACCCGCCAGGGGCCCCGCGGTGCGCCTGGGCAGCCGCTCCACGAGGTCCGCCCCCATGGCGGCGCCGGCGGGGAGGAGGAGGAGGAGGAGGAGGAGGAGGAGGAGGAGGAGGAGGAGGAGGAGGAGGAGGAGGTGTTCATCCTCCGCTATCGTGCCTCCCCTCTGCCCCACGCCCCACCCCCCTGCCTCCCTGCTCCCTCCCTCACTCCTCCTCCGTCTTCACTTCCTTCGCCTTCCTCCTTTCCTGCTCCTCCCCCTCGTCCACCTCTGCTGTTTTGGAGCCGAGCGTGCGATGGGCGAGGACGTCTTGCATTTGTTTTTCTCCTGAGCCCTATTTCCGAGGTCAGCCCTGCCGGCATTGCCTCCTTGAAATGACTCGGGTGTGTGGCGATATGATCGTTCAGTCAACTTCGTGGTCACTGGCAAGGTGTTCTCAGACGGCTCATGTGTGAAGTTGACTCACTGGGAAGTTGCTGCCAGGGCGGGCTGGGGCTTTACGGACATCGAGGGCAACCGCATCGGAGGATCGGCATACGGCCCCTTGCTAGGCCCACGACAGACGTCTCTTCGTTCGGAGCTGTACGCTGCCCTCCAGGTCCTGGTGATGGGCGTCGCTCCGTTTCACATTTACAGGGACTTCCCCTCCTCATCGATGGGTTCAAAAGAAGAGGAAGCAATGGTGCACACATCCTCGACGAGAGAATGCTGACCTGTGGAATAGGCATCGGCACTACATCGATGAGCACGGCGGCGTGGAGTCA